TTTCAACTATTTACTTATGTGATGCTACATTTTCAGCTTTGACTGAGTCAAAACAAAGAAATCTGTTGGTTTCTGGCCCTGCCCTAAGACTTGCAGTCACATCTTTAATTCCAAGGATAGAAAAATTAGTAAAGGAGAAAGAATAATAAATGTGTACATTGTTTATCAAAGTCTATAACTTTGTGTTAAATTTTGTATGGGACAAGTATCCTAAAATATAATTTCCTAATGTGCTTATGTGTTTTCAGTGATTAAATGTTTGAATAATTTTACTTTTTGTTGAGGAATTTAATCATTACACATTTATACACAATTGTATATCATTTTATTGACTGATCAAATAATTTGGATTAATGACAAAGATGTAGGTAGTGAAAGGTCCAATTTATAATGTAATTAATAGCACACCTGGATGTTGAAACTGCTTGGCATTCTGAAGCACGTGGGACATGTTAGTCTTCAGCCAGCCTGCCTCCTACTATAGCAGGTTGTGGTAGGTAGAAAAAAAAGATTAAAGCAGCTTGATTAACAGGAAATGAAAGCAGCAGGAGAGTTTGAGACCCCTGTAGGGGGCCCTCTCTGGCCCACTAGACCAGGGTTTGGCAAATCTTTTTCATAAAGGGCCAGATAGTGATTTTTTGTTTTGTTTTGTTAATCCTCACCCAAGGATATATTTTCCATTGCTTTTCAGAGAGAGAGTGGAAAGCAGGGAGGGAGGAAGGGAGAAATGGGAAAGAGAAAGAAGCATTGATGTGAGAGAGACACATAGATTGGTTGCCTCCCACACTCTTCCTGATGGTGTGTGTGTGTGTGTGTGTGGTGGGGAGGTGGTGGCTGAGAGCTGGGAGAGAACCTGCAACTCAGGTACATGCCCTTGACTGGGAATTGTACCCTCATCCCTTTAGCACTCGGGTCTATGCTTTAACTAATTAGCCATACTGGCCCAGGCTAAATAGTGAATATTTTAGGCTTTGCAGGCCATAGGTGGCAACTACAGTACTCAACCTGTGGTTATAGCACAAATGCAACTGTAGACAGTACACAGACAAATGAATGTGGCTGTGTTTCAATAAAACTATGAACATTGAAATATGACCATATAATTTTCCTTTCATGAAGCTGCCTTTAAAATTTTTATCATTAAAAAAAATCTATCTATATAAAAAGCCAGCGACCCAAATGCCTTAATGACCAGAACGACCAGTCACTACGACGCCCACTGTGGCCAACTAACCGGCCCAATGGGGTGGGGAGCTGGGGCTGGCTGGCCAACCTCCCTCGGCCCCCCCCCCCAGCCACCCCGCCCCTGATCCCTGATTGCAGGCGAGGCCTAGGGACCATACCTGCGCATGATTTCATGTGCCGGGCCTCTTGTCTATATATATAAAAGCCTGGGCCAGACTACCAGACAACCAGGCGGTAGTTATGATGCACACTGACCACCAGGGGAGCTGCCCCCCAATAGGAGGCAGGGCTGGCCAGCCAACCTCCTGCAGCCCCTCTCCCCAGCTGGCCCTGCCCCTGATTGGCCCCCCCTCCTTCAGGGGCAGGGCCAGCCAACCTCCCGCCATCTCCTCCACCTGACAGGCCCAGCCCCGATCCGCCCCGATTGGGGTCGGGCCAGCCGGACCCCACCTTTGCATGAATTTGTGCACTGGGCCTCTTAGTATATATATAAAAACCAAAGCAACTGTTCAACGGTTCGACTGGTAGCTATGATGTGCACTGACCACCAGGGGGCAGACACTCAGTGCACAGGCATGGAAACATGGAACAGACTGATGAATCTCAGAGGGAAGGAGGGAGGGAAAGGACAGGAAGAGATTAACCAAAGATCTTATATGCATACTAGAGGCCTAGTGCATGGATTTGTGCACTGGTGGGGTCCTTTGGCCTGGCCTGCGGGGACCTGGCTGAAACTGGCAGTCCGACATCCCCCGAGGGGTCCCGAATTTCGAGAGGGTGCAGGCCAGGCCAAGGGACCCCACCGGTGCATGGCACCAGGCCTCTAATGTAAACAAATAAACATTGTTAGTTGGTGGAGGAGGAGGGGGTAAAAAAATACGTTCCATACAACTGACCGAATTTGGCCCAGTTTGCCCATCCAGGTCTAGACAGATTTCCAGGTAAAATCAGATGTGCCAGGAGTGGCCTGTAGGGTTTTGTTCTATGAAAACCTCTTCTCACAGTTATAAGTATTAACAGCGAACTGCATCAGATGTTAGACTTTGGACCTTGAGTTCGACTAAGAATTCAGAGCCAGGGAACTCAAATACAAGTGCAAGTTTGTTTAGAAAGTCACAGGGGTAGAAGTGAGCTGTGGAAGAAGTGAGCCACCCAGCTGCATGGAGTCAGCAAGCAAGTTACGGAGGCAAAACAAGGGCCCTTGGAGCGTAGGAGAAAGAAAGAGGAAGGAGAAGCAGGGAAAGACGTACATGCACGCGTGCGTGCGTGCGTGTGTGTGTGTGTGTGTGTGTGTGTGTGCGTGTGTGTGTGTGTGAGAGGGAGAGGCGGGGGGGGGGGGGGGCGAGAGAAGAAAGAGAATATGAGTATGAGCACCGGCATGTGCTGGGTCTTTCCTCTTAATGGCTTTTTACCTCGTGGTCTCAGGGGAGGATCTCAGTAGAGTATTCATCAGATTTTTCTGGTGTGGCTCCTCAGGGTTGTGGTCTCCACTGATTGATTGTGGCCAAGGCAGGGAGGGGATCATTAGTCATTGCAGCTGGTCCTGATGCCAGCTATGGTGTTGCCTCTCTGGCCTTGCTGCTTTTCTGGGCCTGGAGCTGAAACACAACTGAGGCCTAGATGTTATTTATCTATAGTTTGACCAAAACTCTGTCTCTGTGGTCCACATCCCTGAGGCTTTGTTCATAGGTTTATTTTATGTGGTTCAGAACCTCATTGTTCCGAGGCCTTAATGCTTAAGGGAGTGGTCATGTGAGTGAGTCAAATGAGGCTATTCTCCAGGCCCCCTTGTTCTCCTCTAAGGAGATGTACCAGGGGATTAGCAACATGCCAGGGGAGGGTCCGAACTGCATGGCCAGTGATATGAAAGGTCAGGGGGTCTAAACCGCATGACCTGAGATACTCTAGGGGAGGTAAGGTCACCTGGGGGTGAGGTCCTACCCTATAATACTTGAGTTCCCAGGTTAGCCCGTTGCTAGGCACCCAGGGCTTTCCACCCTGGTGACCTGTACCTGGCCTGTTTCCACTCTGCTCCTGCCTAACTGCCCAGGATATCACAAGTATTTGAATTTTCAAACACCTTTTCCATTTTGATTTGAGCTGAAATTAGAAGATATGTTTCAAGCAAAGATACAAAAGAGCAATTCCTTTTATAATGACTAGTTATTGATTTATTATTAATAATTTCATAAATTACTTTGCAAATAACTTTTTGAGCTCATACATGTGCCAGGCATTGTGCTAGGCCTATTACAGACTCCGGGGGACTGATGCAGCATTATCCCTACTTACAGAAGCAGATACTGCGGCGTGGCGCACCGAGGTTAGGTGACAGCTCTAAGCCAGGGTGGCGCAGGCAGGAATGAGGCCCTGGTCTTTTGCATCCTAACTGCCCTCTCCTGCAAGCCACTTCCAGATACCATGTTTAGCTCCGCTCTGTTCGTGTTGACTGGGAGACACATTTTCCCTAAATTCAATCGGGCTCATATAGTCAGTTAAGAGTAAGTGGGCTTGAGACAAACGCCAGGTCCATCGGCCTCCCCCCGCCCCACCCCCCACCCCAACTAGGTCCTGGGACAAAAGAGAGTGGCAACACTCCTGGGAGAGGAGGAGAGGGAAGCCCTAGCGCGTCCTCCAGCCGCCCGGGGGGGGGAGGAAGTCA